GTTGCATCTCGCGGTTGCCCTCGCTCTGGCCGAAGACGTCTCCGAGAAGGAGTTGATCGTGGAAAGCCTGGCCCACCGTCGCGATAGGACGCGGTGCTCGGCGCCACGCCAGCGTTCAACGACGATGACCGCTGGGGATCGCACGCGGGATACGGCATGATCCGGTGCGTGTTGGTGTGCAAAAGGTTGCGAATGGGAAGCACAGGATTAGAAGCTTTTGTCGGCGTGGTAATGGTGATTGCCGTTAGGTTCGATGCTTGTGGATCGTGACGGTGGTTGTGGTTGTTGTTCACCGAATTGTGTAGCCCAGTTTTGGTTCTGTAGTCATGCCATCCTCCCCCCCCCCGCCGAACACACTTCGGCTGCTCCAATGCCACACATTGTACTGTAGATCCGACTTGGAGGCCGTGGACGACTGGTGTTGACGACCTCGTCTACCCTCGTGAAGGAGGTGTCGAGCTGCGAGACTGCGAAGATAGAGACGAATAATCGCAAGGTCAGGACGCAAGAGAGAATGAAGGAGGGCGAGGACGACCTGATCACGTACTACAACGACGTGAGCATCTGATCAACCGACGTGTGCCCGGGAGTGATACATAAAACCGGCACCGCCGCCTGTGTGTGTGTCGTCTCTGCTGGTGGTATGTATTTTCGCGCTGTTTGCGGAACAAGTAAACGGCACCACGGGTTTGCGAACTCCGGGCGAGGGGGAGACGGAAATCAATCCCGTTCCTCGATTTTGCCGTCACTGCAGCACTTTTTTGGCTCTTCAAATGTAGTTCTGGCGATGGCGAAGGGCGTGTTGGTGTGGTGCCGGTGGGGCGGGGGATGGTGAGACTCGATGGCACCTGTATACTTCGTCGAGGGGCGGGGTACACCTTTGACGCACCTGTCAGTCAGTAGTAGGTGCTGAAAGCACACTATGATAAGCGCAGCCCGGTCCTCCTAGAGCCATCGACAGAGCTACTCGGTATTCCCACCCCACTCCAGTCTCTCGATTGGCTCGCTTTTGATGCAGGCGAATGGGACCCTGACGGCTTTCGAGGACGTTGCCGCGCACCTCATGTCTCTGGATTCCTTGTCTCTGGACCTATCCTCTCTCTACGAGGACATGATCTCGCAAGCGGGGGTAGTTGTCTCGAGTGAAGAGGATTCCGACCTCGGCATACCATGTCGCGTCAGCATGGTCGACCGGGATGGCTTGGGCGATGATCGACCGGGATGGCTTGGGCAATGATTGACCGGGATGGCTTGGCCGATGACATCAACAAAGGGTCGGTCTACGATACAGCAATGTGGAAATGTGTCGGGTCGAATACGAGGTTGATGGCAGATTTTGTCGGAGTCGAAGGTGATCCCTGTCATTGTCGCCAAAGTTTTTGGTTTATGGTTTTGCTGTTGGCGTTGCTCTCGTTGCTTTTTGCGTCTGTTCGCTGCCTGCCTGCGTGCCCGCCTGCCTGCTTGTTAATATTGTTTGGTTGTGCCTGCTGCGTTTCCTACCCGTTTGGATCCGACGCATGGCCGCCCTGAGGGTACGATTTACACCAGAAACGCTTTTTGTCCAGGCGTATCCCGGCCGCTGCCTACCCACGGTGTGTGGTACGCAACAACTCCTGTGGCCTCCTCGACGAGAGTTTCATTCTTGGCTGTTCCTCAGTCCCGCGGAGAGTGATTGATTCTGCTGCGTTTGGCCAGGCAACATAAGTGACTCTAGGAGTCATACCTCGAATTGACCCCCCCTGCTGCGTCCCCTCCACACGCTCCCCGCTGCGTCATGGCATATCATACCGCTCGATTCAAGGAACTGCGAATGGTGGCTGGCGCCATCGTGTCGAAGCTGACCAAAGATGTGTGGTTGCTTGCGGAGTGCACAACGCAGAGTGACACAGCAGTTATCCACCCTCTGCAGCTGCGATGGCATGGTGAGTTGGTGGGGCCAACGGTATCTCACATGCTCTGTAGCGTAAGTTTCGTTTCACGAACTCTTTGCATCTTTGCGAGGGGTGGAGCTTACGGCTACTTGGTCATTGTTCTTCCTCTTTTTGATGATATTTTTGTTGTTGTTGGTTGGCGCGCTCGTGATGGCCTGGGTTTGAGAGAGGGTTTTCGTGCCCCTAGGACCGTCAAAACTTGCAATGGTGAAAAAAAGCAAACGCCCATTCACCGACAGACCTCCTAGTCCAGCACCATCGACTGGTACATGGAAATTTGAATTGGACCGAAGCCGAAAGCCTACCTAGTCACACCGCGTAGCACGAACGTCCATGTAGAGCAGAGACGTCAATAAAATATTTCGACAATACGAACACACTGACCGGTACAGGCAAGCGATAGTCCCAAGAGTTTCAGAAAGCATCTGTCCTCCGGTAGTTCCGCCCCAAATGGCCAAATTTTCAAGGCGAGCAAAAAAGGAGTACCACCCACCTCTCCTAGAGCTGACAACGGGTACTGTTACAGCGGATTCTTGATATTGTCTCAGCTTAACAGGGATTCGAGAACAACGACGAGTCAGCGGAGCCATTTGACAGCCATGGAAGCACCACCGGCAGCAGCATCAGCGACAGCTGCACCGACAGCGACCGTAGCGACGGCAGCGATGCCGCAAGCGACCGTACTGTGACCACTGGGGACGCCGGGGAAAACGACACGGACACGGCCGGCGACGGCGCCGTGGTGGACCGGAAGGAGGCCGACGATGACGGCGACGAGGGGGACGTCGGCATGGAAGAGGATGACGCCTACAGCAGTGTCACCAACCCGCCTACACGCTAGACGGGGTTTGGACCTGTGCTGTTCCTTCGTTGCCCTTGTTTTCATGTGTTGGTAGTGGTGGTAGCGTGGCCTGATTTCCAGCGTGCGTTCAGCGCTGTGTTGCAACCCTTGTCGTAACCGTGTGGACTCTCTCGGTTCTTGCGGGGAGCGTTGTGTGATACGTCTTGTCTGGTCTGTTTGATCTGTCTTCACAGTACGTAACCTGCCTATTGTTGAGCTCAAAGTGGTTGCGTGTCAGTTTTCGTTTCTTTTTGAGGCACCGTCATCGACGTGTGCCTGTGGTGATGTTGCCCTTGTGCTGGGATATGTTATTCGTTCCTTCCCCTCATGAAACACTTGTTTGTTCATCTTTCAAGAATGACATATTTTCCGTAATAACTCGGAGGGTTTCTCGTGTGAAGCTTGCTTGCTCGCATCTGCTGTGTGCAGGTGGTCCTGTATAATTTCACCATCGACATGTGCCCATTGTGGTGTTTCCCTTAGTCCGGGATGATCTTCATTCCCTCATGGAACAGCCTCTTTTTTCCGGTTTCAAGAATGATTCATTTTTGCTTCCGTTCAAGCTCGGGGAGTCGATCTCCCGTGTGACGCTTGCTTTTGTCGAAGCTGTTGGGTGCTGTCCATAGTCTCAGGCTACTAGGACTACAAGTTATATTTGCATTTCAGCTCGCACGTGACGTTTCCCGTGGTTTGTGATCAGCTTGGTCATGCAGTGGGACATGGGTCCTTGGGCGCAGTTGTTTTGAAATCGAGAGGAGGAATGCATGGGGCTACACTCCGGAGGTGAGGCCTTCGGCCTCGAGCTCGTTTTTGTCATGAACATCGGGTTTGTGTATCTTTGCTTGGGCATGAATTCGCTCTTCTTGTATTCGCTGAATATGCCCGGCACGACAATAGTAGTAGTTGAAGGGGATTCGTTGCCTCGAGTCAAGACACTAATATTCTCGAACTCCTGTTCACTCTGTCCAACTGGGGATGCGCGTCCTCGTACGGGAAAGGAGCCGACATATTCATGTTGGCAATAGCCAAAGCACGACATAGCTACCGGGATGTCTCCACGTTAATGTTGTACCTTCAACATGTTGGGCACGGGTCCGCATAGAGATGATGTTGTTCATTCTTTCGCGAACGGAATTCCACTGTCGGGCTCGTCCACCCTGCACAGTACTGTATACTGTAGTGAAATTGAAATCCCGACTGTTCTTCGTGTACCCGCAACGCTAGACAACATTCTGGGCTTGCTTCTTCCTTGTTGGAGCATGGTTGAGAAGGACGTCACGCTTCCACCTTAATTGCGTTCCACCGGTTATGCGATCTATCGTCGGCACGTGGTACTTCGCAAGACACCGATTCACTCGACAGGCTGTGAATTGGGTCGCGTCGTCTGCAGCCGTTCCTTTTTGTTTAACGATAGGATCGTAAGGATCACTCGTAAATCACCCTTTCGTGCTTTTCCGCGCTCCCTACATCAAGAGTCGTTGAACGTGGTGGTCTTGTCGGGTCACCGGGAAGTAGCTGGAGTCATCGCGACAGCCAGCCGCAACAGACGAGAGCCCAAACGTATCGCAGAATAAAACGTCGAACACTGCTGGCTGCCCTGGACACAAAACAACATGCACACATTTTCTGTATGTAGATATATATATATGTATCCTCAGCGGCATCACAGGTAGCTCACTATCCCCCGGAAGACATCCTCTATCCCCACCGTCATTACCCAGGCCGTCACACCCGCAGTCGCGACCCTACCGGGATGAGCACGACCCATGATTGGCAGGCCGCGGCGGCGCCAGGTTCTGTCGGCAGAGGCGTTGGCCAACAGCTGTCGGACACGTCGTTCGCTTTATGCTGGCTGAGTGTCCTGGACACCTTGTCCAATCCATCCGCAGCGAGCGTCCACCCAAACAAAGTCCCCGGCTTTGCGGCCTTCGTCGTCAGGCACACCTTCGTCAGTACCCCACCTCAAGAGAAGATCTACTATCTCCGCTGCACGCTCACTTCCAGCAAACCCAGCCGCGAGATGCAGAGGGGCCAGGATTTCTGTGGTGGCAGTAATCACTTCAGCGCCATGCCTCAACAGAGGGAGAGCAACTTCGAGGTAGCACTGCATAGCGGCATGAAGTGGTGTCGCCCCGTTGACATTCCTTTTTTCGATGTTCGCTCCTGCCTTGGCGAGCATATCGATGGCCGGTGCGGAACCTCCATGAACGGCCTGATGTACGGGTGTGGAGCCCTCCTCGTTTTCACATTCACCCCGCGCTAAATCAACGGGGGCACAATCCTGCACGGCCATTGCGGGCGGCCATTTTCAGGGTTGACAGGCTGTAGGCGCCGTAGTGAGCGCCAACGTCACCTCCAGCAGCCACCAGAGCCGCAGTCACGCCGACGTGACCCGATTGGGCTGCAACGTGAACAGCTCGGCGCTCTGTACCGTCCTGCATCTCGAGCACAGCTCCCTACAGGAGAACAGTTCCACCATGCATCCCAACTTCGCTACGCCGGCGGCAATGTGGAGAGCGGTGGAGCCACCTGCATCTTGGCTGTCCGCAAACGTTCATTTCTAGCATGTCTGCAACGATTGTCTGGTGGCCACGCCGCACAGCCTCGTGTATCGACCCCGCACACGCCACCGTCTCTTTACAGCAGGGCTCATGCCCCCTAGCCTGTTGTTCACGGGAGGTCGGACGCTCTAGAACGAGTTTGGCCGCACGCGTAGCCATAGTCTTGCCCGATCTTTCCCTCAGCGTCGTGGTGCTAGCCAGTCTGTCAGCTACTTGGTATGAACGCGCTAACAGCCCCCCTGCCTATCTCGTTGCCTCCCTTGCTGTCTCTCCTCCCGGCGCTGGAGACGGGTCCCCGTGTATCACTGAATTTTGACAATATCAAACCGCGTCGTCAGCGTAGTACCAGTTTCGAGCCCCCTGCGCATCGGTGTTGATTTTGAGTGCGGGGGGAAGGTTCGCCAGCTTTGGTTCCCTACAAGCGAAGCTGTAGCACATCATTTTAGACTGCACCAAAGGTACCGTTTCGCAGCACAGGAATCCGTGCGTGAATACCAAACCACACAGCATCGATTTGGTCTACCGCATATGAAACAATACTCAAAGCGCTATTTCTCCACTATCGGAGAACTTCAGATAACATGCATACAAAACGGGCCTGGATGTTAGAAGCGTTACCAATTGGTCGACGCTGCGCTACAATAGATCGGGTGCACGTACGGAGCACGAAAACTACAGATCAGAATGTGTAGCACCTCGTCGAGGACAACGCGACAAGTGATCTCGGGTTAAGCCCTGCTGTGTCCTGTGTTCCTACACATCCCTTCTTCGGAACTGTTCCGCTTTCGTCAAGCTCTCATGGCAGCAATGAAATGACCATGCATGTCATGCCAGGCAGTGTTTGTGGCAGGCGGTGCATCCACCACTCACCCTTGCTGTACAGGTGCAGCGAGCTCTCCGTCGTTGGTTTCACGACAGCTGTGTCGTACTACAGCAGTATAGAGTAGAACCGTGATCTCTCCTTGTTGTCTGTTGTTGTACGGCGAAACTATATCAAATTTCACAATTCCGAGAGCCATGCACGCATCGCAAAAGATGAATGGGATTCACACCATCGGAACCGGCTGATTGTAGCAGGCCATCATGACCTACACTGTGTATACAACAGCATGTCGCTAGGTTCATTCAACGCGGTACGTCTGCTCGAAAACTGTGTGTGTGTGTTTTCGTCCTATATATTTTGGCGACAGTCCCCCCAATTTAGGTGGTGAGACTCTTCAGTGCATGCATTCGTACAAGTTTAACCCTCCAGGGCCACACAGGAAGGGGACTCTTCTTGTTATTTTCGTGCCCCACTTTCCACCTGCGGTGCGTGTTGAATTTTGCTTTTCATCGCCAGAAGGTTCCAGCCGTCCCTTTCCCTTGTCGACGGTGCTACCATCGGAGTTTGGTACTCACTTGAGCTATCCAGTATATTTTTTCACTTTCATTCGCAAAGTTGTACGCTTGTCACCCTGTGGGGATTCGAACTCGGGGCTTTGCCATTATTTGCGGGTTCGAGGTTACCACTAGGCCACCGGGGCGACCGTAGACTTACACTTGCTACACGATAGACACAGGGGAGACCGCCGAGAAAAATAGTCGACGTGTGTGTCTGGCAGCAAGCATTACCAAGCAACCTGGTGCATTCATGAGATCTGCACCTGACCCGACCAATACGAACTGGTGCGGCCAGATGCGGAAACTAATCCTGTACTAAAACAGATGATGCCGGAAACGCCTTCCCCGTGGAGAAGGTTGGCCTCGAAATCCCACAGGTAGGTTAGGCTCTGCGGAAGACTGTTCAACATGGACATGTATTGGTACACTTTTGCCGGCAGAGTACCGACTATCAGTAGCACAGGGAGTAAAAAAATACGCTTGTGTTGGTGATGTAACGGTGACACCGGAACCACGTTCGGGTCGCGGCAGTCGTGTTGGATTCTCTCGTTTGACGCCATTGAGGAAGCTCCTATTTTCTGACGACGGAAGCATCGTTTTGTGAAACGTGCGGCAAATGAATCAGGTCCTTGGTATGAAGCGCCCTGTCCAAGAGGCCGTGGACTGATCCGCTGTAGGTGGCAGTAGTCCGGATTGGTGGTGTTGCGATCTGTTGGGGCGGGCATGGTGGTTGAAGCTTGGTCCTGAAAATGAATATATGCACTAGAATGAAGGATCGACCCACTGTCCCCGACAGGCCTGACGGCAAGACAGTGATAGAGATGAAGGTGTGGAGTAGACGATATGTGCCGGGGAATCAGTGACAGGGCATTTCACTCAAGGGTGTGCGCGAAAACAGTTCATGCTTGACTTACGTGCATCTACCTGCCTTGACCAGAGCATTTAGCCTTGTCAACCCTACTTGTTCTGATTGTAGACCCACTTTGCTGAGTGTGGTTGTGAGAGCTCAGTTGGGGCATCCTGTTTTATTTTTGCTTTTGGTCTAGGATACTTGAATATATGTAATGGATTTTGGGTGAGGCCTCCACCTCTGAGGCCTGCCGTTCCACCGATGCACTGCGGCCTAAACGGCGGTCGGCGTGGCCATGAATCTGTAATTATCCCGAGGCGTCAAGCCTATATTTGGTCACAGTAGCAGGAGGGTGAGTGGTGGGTCTCAACAATGTTTCTCTCCTATTCGCTGTGTCTCGATTTGACGGTAAGGAGAAATGGGCGGCTGTATGCCCATTTCCACAGGAAATTTCCGGTGTACGATCGTCATACGTTGTGCGCAAGGCGGACGCACAAGATTCGGAAATGTTGCCAGCACAAAAGTGGGAATGCACAACGGTGTACGCATATCAGGGAACGCCACTGTCAATGGCGGCACAAGCCCTTTGTCGGCGTGCATGATCATACAGGAGGCACTCATGCGGCAATCGTGGTCGCGGTAGGCAAGTTTCCCTGTCTGGTCCGTGAAGACGAAAAATAGTTTCGAGTTGTTTCGAGCCATATATATTCTTTCCCGTACTCAACTTTAGGAATGTGTCGCGGCACGAACGCCAGTCTGTGAGTGTATATAACATGATTGGGCGGTGGGGAGGCCTATTGATGTTAGATTGAAGTCCGGCCCGAGTCCAGTAGTAGCGCTGACCGAAAAAATAGTAGGTGAGATTAGCGTGTGGCAGGTGAAGGTCCGAATCGTCGTAGTTTTTCTTGACAACCACGGAATGCATGTGTGCCATCATGTATGGACTTCACGCGTTTCACGGCACCGTTGCCGCTAGAACGGTATCGTTGCTCTCCCTCTTTACGTACGCGAATGCATGTAGTTTGTAGGTAAGCACGGAGAGGTTGAAGCCAAATCGTAGTTTGGTTGTCTGAGAGGGTGCATTTGAGGCAACCCCTTCGTGTAGGAGGAGAAGTAGTCCATCTGTTTGAATAGGTGCCTTTGGAATACTGTTCAATTTACGTCAGGCATGGCACAAATGATGTTCGACCCGACGGCTGAAGCGATCGGCGAAGTAGTAGGATATAGGTGGGCAGCGACATGTAGCAGGGATATACTAAAGAAATCGACGCTGATGGCCAGGCCTGGTCCAGTTGGAAAGAGAGTAACGTTTAGGGAGGATGGGCGGCGAGCGCAGAGTCTGATGTGAAGTTCGTGTTGCCTGACACCTGAGACAAGTGTGCAACCACCAGCGAGTGCAGATGCTCACGCCAATGCACCAGAAGTACTGTAGCAGGGTATGGTCGAAAGGGACGGGTGAATGTTGGAGGGAAAGCAGTTGTGAAAACAACAGGAACAGGGCGGGAAAATGAAAAACAATTATCGTATGGTATTGGGCTGGTGCAACAAGTGCAACCAGTACGAAGGGCGTAAACGCGGGATGATAGTAGCGGGAAAATCGGTGTGCGTTGTAGGATGGATGTAGAGTCAAGGTTGTGAATCTGAGTCTTGAGAGTTGGTTGGTGTGAACGGCAATAACAATTAAAAGGGGTTTGTGGTCGAGCACGGAAGACAAGACAATGAATGGCCTAAAGAGACTGAGACACAACAGTCATGTTGAGAAATATGACGAACCGACTGGGCGATAAGGGTGCGGGTACGGAATGGAGTCCCGAAGAATGAAAAACATGCGCCAAATAATCGTCGAATGTGGCAGTCCGATGCCACGGAAGCTCGAGGGAGAACCCCGCACGTGGGTTATGGATTATGTGGGTCGCGCGTGGCCAGGGCGCAAGGGCCCGTTGCATAGCGCCGTCCCGTGTATAGCGATGAAGGAACATGATTGACGCAAGCAAGGAATCAAGACCGAGAGTGAGAAGATACAGAAGAGGTCGTCAACCCTTACACGTGTTTAAAAGGACAAGAAACTGTCCAAGTCACACAATCATTCCCAACAGAAAGAACGGAAAGGGACAGTCGGCAATGGCACCTCTGACCAATAGCACACCATCCTTCGTCATCAACGCAGGCGCAAGTAAGTGCGATTTGAAAGCCGGTGTGAAGGGTTTGTCGTAGTACCGTAGATCCAACCGCAGTGAGTGTAAATGTTGATGTGCGAGAGAGGATTGGCATGGATTCCAGCACTACAGGACGCGATGTTTTGATTGTTGATGTGAAAGGTGTTCATGCAGATCTATATCAATGGCACGCTGCAGGTAACACATCGCGCGGAATCTCTAGGCCGGCCCGTAACCGAATGCTTCTGTGCACTACATTGCAGCAGCAGTTCCTGTAGGAGCGTAGGAGGATGTATTTGCTTCTTTGGTGTTGAGGGGTTGGCGGTGGTGCAAAGCAGCAGGTTTA